CTCATGGTTAAAGGTTTTATAAGAAGTAACCAATGTGTCTGAAAAAAATCTTGGCTGGGGGGTGGGGAGGGAGAGAATTCACAAACCTGGGTCTGTGGGGGGAGGGACGGGGGGCTAGTCTGAGGAGGGAGGCCTTGTCCACCAGCATGGCTCATGCTCATGGCCATGGTGTTTCATTGATCTTCAGCAAACGCTCAGGCCAGCCCAGGGCATTGCATTCTCCCCAGGCTTACGTTGAAAGCTCAACAGCCAGTAGTCTCTCAAGGTTCCTGCTGTTAAAACCCTGCATCCCTTGGTTTTAGCTTTTAATTTATCCAAGGATGAATTCAATAAGTTGGGGTTTAATTTTTCAAATGATAATAGCTCTCTTTTGTGGCTGGCTCCACAGAGAGCTTTCTGTGCCACTTAGCGTTCGGGCCTCACGACAGCATGACACACAGCAGCGAAGGGACCAGCTCAGTGTCCCTCCCCTGGAAGTGACAGAGCTGGGCCGAGACCTGGGTCTTTGTGACTCTTAACTACTCATCTCTCCTACCTCCTAACTCATGCCAGAAGATGATGGCTACGATCCTGGTTTCTGAAGTCTCCTCTCAGACCTTCCTACTTGGAAGAATTTTTACCCAGTATTTTTTCATTAGACATCAGTAAATGTACTACAATTCTAAACATTGGTTGTAATGGCTCATGCCTGTTACCCAAGCTACTCAGGAAGCAAAGCTTGGGAGGATTGTGGTTGTAGGCCAACCTGGACAAAATATAGTGAGACCTCATCTCAACCAATAAGCTAGGTATGGTAGGGTTCATTTGTCACCTCAGCTATTAGGGAAATACAAATAGGAGGGTCATGGTCTAGGCTGGCTTGGGGTAAAAACTTATTTTGGGGCAAAACATGGCTTAAGTAGTGGAGTACTACAAAGCACAAGGCCCAGAGTTTAAACTCTAATATGGTGGGTCTTAACAAAGAAAAACAATAATGTACTATTTATTTTAAGTAGGAAATAATATATACTATAGTCTTTTATAAATGAAAGATTTTAGGTTTTAAAATATACATTCTCAACCTTTTGGGAATTGAAGAAAAATATCCAGAAATTGTGTGTGTGTGTGTGTGTGTGTGTGTGTGTGTGTGTATGTGTGTCTGTGTGTGTATAGAACTTGAACTCAGGGCCTAGACGCTGTCCCCTTAGCTTTTCCACTCAAGGCTGGCACTCTACCACTTCCAGCTTTTTGGCAGCTAATTGGTGATAAGGGTTTTGCAAACTTTCCTTCCTGGGCTGCCCTTGAACTATGATCCTCGGATCTCAGCCTCCTGAGTAGCTGGGTTGTAGGTGTGAGCCATTTATGCCTGGCTAGGGTTGCTTTTTTTTTTTTTTTAAAGCATTAAAGTGTATCATCTTTTAACAGCTCTGTTTTTCCTCTCCTCTTTCTTTCTACTGCTGGCAGATCCAGATAACTGTACTTTTTTGAAAAACGTGTGTATAATTCACTCCCTTTTCTGAAATTAAGCATATGGTTCCATACTGGGTTTCCACATAGATAAATCCACTGAGAAGTGGTTATTTTATTTACTTGATAGTGGTGATGGTGGGAGGTGGGGGGGGTGTAACACAGCCCCAAGGCTCCTGCAGCTCTGCTCAGCTCTATGACTAGATTATTTATTTATTTATTGGGTGTTGGTCCTGGAGCTTTTGCTCAGGGTCTGGAAGCCACAGCTTCACTGCAGCGTTTTGGTGGTTGATTGGAGATAAGTTTCATGAACTTCCCTGTTTGGTTTTAATCCTCCATCCTTAAATCTCAGCCTCCTGAGTAGCTAGGATTATGTGTGCAAACTCCCAGCTCCCAGCTCCCTCGCTAGATTAAGAAAAATTATTAGACAAATAATATAAAGGTATTTGGAATGATTTTAAAAGTTACCCTCGTTTCATTTTGATAGCTCTCTTTCCAGCCTTTGTCCATATGAATTCCTATTTTATACTCTTCCAATCCAAGCACAGGTCTCAAGCAGTATCTCTCTTTCTGCATAGCTAAAGGGTGTGTACAGTTTAAAGAGGTGCAATACCTCATTTACAGAAAATCACATATTTCCAAAATTTCTTGTGAAGACACGACTGCCAATTATAGAAAAGATTAGAGAAAAAAAAATCCACACGCTTAATTATCCATCAGGGTGAAGGCGATGAGTTAACACAGAAAGAAATGGCTGTTTTCAAAAAAAATTATACTATGGCTAGGTGGTAATGCATTCGTGAAGTCCCAGCATGAAAGCAGGAGGATCTAGAGTTCTAGGCCATGTTGAGCTGTATATAAAACTCAAATCTCAAAAGGAAAAAAAAAGCTGGGCACCGGTGGCTCCTGCCTGTCATCCTAGCTACTTAGAAGGCTGAGGAGATCTGATGAGCACAGTTCAAAGCCAGCCCAGGCAGGAGACTTTTATCTCCAATAAACCATCAGAAAACTGGAAGTGGTGCTGTGGTTCAAGTGGTTGGGCGCCAACCGTGAGCTGAGGAGCAGAGGCACAGTGCCCAGTCCCAGAGTTCAAGCCCCATGACTGACGACGACGATGATGATGACAACAACAACAGCAACAGCAAAAGGACTATGGAAAGAATGTTTTGAAAGCATGTTTTTTTTCTTTTTTTGAAGGGGTAAAAGAGGCTGGCAGTTGAACCCAGGGCCTCAGGCATGCTAAGCACACATGCTATCACACTTCCAGCTCATTAAGAACACAAGAATATAGTAACGGCACTTCCTCTTACTTGCAGGAGCCATTATTTGATGCTAGGGGAAATGGACTTCTCTAATAAAGTATTCAGACTTCTGTGTCGCTGGTGGGAGGGGTGGGGAATGTCTCTGCATCCAGGGCACAGGCTGGGGGAGCCTGGGCTGAGTCACGCAGGTAAATGGACCTACAGTGAGACCACTTCCAAAACACTGGGTCATAAAAACATCCCTGCTTTTTAAGCAAACAAAAGAGTATTCACTTCTGTTATAGTTTCTAAAAATGTAATAATTCATATGGTTTTTAATGATTTCAAGGAGTCAGTTGATGCCCTTAGTAAATGGCATATTAAAGTATATCTTAAAATATGGGTTATTTTATCCTTGTCCCACCCTTTAAGTTGTTCTATTTTGGTATTTAAAAATGTTCATAGGCTAGGAATGTAGCTCAGGGGTAGAGTGTTTGCCTAACGTGCATGAAGCCCTGGGTTCGATTCCTCAGTACCATATACACAGAAAAAGCTGGACGTGGCGCTCTGATTCAAGTGGTAGAGTAGTAGTTAGCCTTGAGCAAAAAAAGCTCAGGGACAGTGCCCAGGCCCTGAATTCAGTCCCCAGGACTAGCAGGAAAAAAAAAAGTTCAAAACTGGGTGCCAGTGGCTCATGCCTATAACCCTAACTACTTAGGTGGCCAAAATCTGACGGTCATGGTTCGAAGCCATCCTGGGCAGGAAAGTCTGTGAGACTTGAATAGCAAGAAACGTAAGTAAAGATGTAGTTTAAGTGGCAGAGCACCATCCTCGAGTAGCAAAAGCTAAGTGAGGGCACCCTGCCCTGAGTTCAAGTCCCAGTACTGGCACAAAAATGTTTATATTATATTGGCACGCTGGCACATTCTATAGCTTACAAACCAATATGCTCGTGTCAGTGATGTGTGCTCAAGTGTTTTCCCACAGTCACACAGGTTGGAGGCTGTGGCTCCAGGCTATCACGTGCGTGGCACCTGCTGTGACTCTTGTGAACGCTGATGGATGACTTTCATTTCTTTACTGGGTGAGCTGGCCTGTCGCTGAGCTCAGGATGTGGAGGTCACAGCACACAGAGCAAGGCGACCTTTGGGGATGGCCTTCTGTATCAAATGAGCAAATACTGCTTCCTGAGGCCCAGAAGGGCCATGGCGCTTGAGAGCTCATGAGTTTCATTGGCCACCAGCTTCCTGTGTCTCTACACTGCCACTGCCACCGCCGTAGCTGACAGCAGCCACAGTTTTCCTTGCATCGTTTAAGGGAAGCTTCCCCCCTCTGCCCCATTGCTGGCTGGTGTGGCCATGCCAGGTGCCATGCCTGGTTTGTGAGCCTTGTCCCTGGGGAACACATCTGGCAGCACTGTTTGAGAACACCTCTTCCTGCGGTTGGACCAGTTTCTGGACGCAGGCTCAAGCACAGTCAATGCTGGGGGACTCAGTAGCAGGCTTGGGCAGCAAGGTGATACTGCCTTTGATTTACCCTGCAGGAGCAACAATCACACAATTATAGTGACAGCACCATTTCCACACCAGCATGTGTACACTCTCAGACATTTTCTACACACCCACGAGGACTTGAGAACCGTTTCTGATGGATTTGGGGATGACCAGAACTGTTTCGAGTCCTGTAGAGCCATTGAGAGTCTCAGTGGTCCAGGCCCCGTGTCCAGTCTCTCGTCGGGGCTGCTCTGAGAGTCATTGTCACCATCCACACTATCAGGCTTCCTTACCTCTGTTAAAAACCCTTTACCCATTATGCTAAGAGCTTGCTTGCAAGATGGCTGGCCCTGAAAAATACGTCCTGGGAGCCAGTCTGCGTTTTGCCTTTAGACCTGCAGATAAGTAGTCTCTGTATTAAGTATGCAGCCTTGGAGGCACATTTTAATCCTTGCGCACTGTCGTTCCCAGCTGGGAAGTGGGCTTGGAGGAGGGGGAGTCCTTGTGTGATTAAATGAGGCACTATAATGTGGACTGCTTACAGAGCACATGCCAAGAGGCATTCAGTGGTCCAGACACCTGGTGTGGCCCCCAGAGAGGGGAAATCCAGCTAGTCCCTGTTGGGCTGGTCAAAACATGAAGATGAATGTTACCATCACCCCTATTATATTTCCACAGTTTCTATCACTTGGTATGGGGCCCGGGTAAGCAGTGTCCCCTGGCTGTGCACTCTATGCAAGGTGACACTTTACCTTTTAAGGTAGTTATTTGATTATCTAAATACCTTCTAATTCTCTCTTCTTCTCTTCTTGTATTGTAGGAACCCAGTTATTTAGTGGTCGCAGTGACTTTAGAATCACTACCTTGAAATTTCATCCAAAAGACCCCAACATTTTTTTATGTGGAGGCTTCAGCTCCGAAATCAAAGCTTGGGATATAAGAACCAGCAAGGTAACGTCCTTCTCCCTGGCTGGCCTGTCCCCCAGACCAGCAAGGTGGTGCCCTTATGCCGGGGCACAGTCCTTGGCAGTTTGAGCAGCAGGGGATGGGTTAACACTTGTATTCAGGACCACTTTCTATTTAATATTTAATCAATGCTAAGCATAGTTTTTAGCTGTTTTGGAAGAACATTCTCGAGTCATTAGGCTATTAAGACGTTATAATGTTTGATGGGGCATATTACTAAAGATATTTGTTGAACACCTACTGCCTGCAGAAGCTTCCAGATGATGTAAATAATTCATGTGTGCAGCAACTCTGGTGCATGGGGTTGCTCTGTGTGCACATGTGTGCATGCCCGCATGTGCCTCTACACCCTGAGGGTGTAGAGGGGCATGCAGGGGAGGGGGCTCCTCATGGACAAGCTATTCCCTCCAGAGCTTCAAAACCAGCTGGGATCTCCTCTCACCCTCTGCTGCGGCTTGCAGATCCCACTGCCTTCCCCATGCAGTACATGGCAACTGCTCATAGTTGGTCAGGCTCAAAACATGATCAGTAATGGTGCCCAGCCCTTCCTGTCCCACCCCACAGCTTAGCAAATCCTCTTCCCCCCTCCTGTCCCATGTCCCCTGCCATAGCTCTGGCCTAAGCTTCCATTGTCTCTCTTGCTGGGATAGTAGTTTTCCTCTTCAGTCTTTTTCCTTTACCTTTTACAGTCTTCCTCAACACAGCAGCCGAGTGATCTGAGTTGGATGTGTCAGTAAGACTTTCTGGTTCCTGTCTCAGTCACAGTAAAAGCCAGTGGCCCTGCAGTGGTCCACAAGGCCTAAGTGATCTCCCTTCAGCCCCAGTGGGCTATTTGCCTTTCCCAGAACACACCTGCATGTTCCTGCGTCAGGGTCCTTGCACTGGTCCTGCTTCTGCCTGGAATGCTCTTTTCCCAGTTTTCTGTGCAGAACCCATGCCGTCCCTCCTATAGGACTTCGCTCTTATGCTGCCTCTCACGTGAGGCCTTTCCTAGCCCCCACCCCTGGCATACACCAGTGACGTCCACTTTTATCATCATTTGGCATGCTGTGGGATTTTCCATGTTCATTTATTTGCCCTACTCCTTCCACTCAACTGTGGGCTCCCAGAAATGAGAGTTTTTGTCTGTGTGTTGCAGTAGCTGACACTCACCAATCATGAGTGAAGAAGGAAGACCCATGCAGAGAGTGCAGATTGGGGAATCATTGATGCCCTGGGCTTGGCTGAGCCTGGGATCTGGGAAGCGGATGGGCCTGAGCTTGGGTTAGGGTGGGAGCCATGGGAGAGCTGAGGATAGGCTATATGGTGGTGTTAGTGGCCCAGAGGTGATGGAGAGGCAGAGATGCAGGTGAGTGAGACACGAGGAGGGGGAACAGACTGCCTGCCTCTGGGGGCTCCACTCCAGCAGGTGGTTTGGGGGGCTTTGAGAAGCACTGCCCAAGGCTGAAGGAGAGAGCCTCATGACTCCTGCCATAGCTCCTGTGTTGAAGCTGATTAGAGAAATGTCAGACAGTGTCTCCATCATCTGGGACCTGCAGTGCCAGAAGGTTCCACTTTGAGGGCATCTTGGCTCCATCCTGGTCAGGTGGAGCCTTCACACAGGCTCTGCTGAACAGAAGCAGTTCCACAGGGTCAGCTGGGGAGGATGAGGCACAGCCTCTAGGGTCTGGATTCCAGACCTGCCACCATGGTTGGGGTGGCCTCTTTGGAAAGGTCCCTGCAGGTGTGTAAGGGCTGTAAGCTTCTCAGGAGAATCTAAGAGCAGAGGCCTTGCTTTAAAGACAGTGGGAAGTTTTGTCCATGGTAAAGTCTTGCTTAAGGCATTTGTAAGTGGCAGCATAGACCCATACTCTAAAATCACCTCAGTTTTCGGTTGCAAAAGAACCTTTTACAAAAATACTTGGAAAAGAGAGAAAAGCTACTCAATAAGCCAGTGGACTCTAGGAAAAAAAATTTTTTTTAACGCTGGAACAGTTTATATTTAGGACATAAATAAATGATAAAGGGAAGTTCATGTTTGAGTGTGTTGGGCGAATCAGAAACACCTCATCCTTGAACTGATCGCCCAGCTGTCCTGACAGCCCGTACCCCTAAAGGTTTCGCTCCATGTTTTAAGCCCCGAAGACCTCACATATAAGACATTACTCACCCTGGACGCCATCTGATTTAAGAGTTTGTTAAAAATATCAGGTTTTCTCCTAGGGCAGACGCCAGCTGACAAGCTCTGCAAGTGCTGGGAGAAGCAATTAGAAGCAGATGCTGCTGTGCCTGCTATTGGCATGTTTGCCAGTCTCTCCCAAGCTAATAATGTGGGTAAAGGGATCCACGCAGTATTTGTTTTTACTTCCTTTTTACCAACAGTCCTCCCCCGCTGGGTCATGGGGTGTAGTTGGGGGGGGGAGTTGTTGTTCTGTTTGCATCAGGCAGGCTCTCGGGGAACCACACTTCTTCCTGACTGTGCTATCCACGATGGACTCTCCCCAAAGCCCAGGGAGGGAAGGCCCAGGCTGCCTCCCTCCAGGGCTTCGCTCCTGTTAGCCTGGAGCCTGCTCACTTGAGAGCCGCTGGGCTCTGAGGTGTGCAGAGCTCTGTCCATGGTGCTGAAGCTCCAGTGTAGGCCTACGCAGCTGGCCTTTTCCAACCATCCTGTCAGAAGCCACAGTGGCACCACATACAGAGGCAGGACACAGACCTCAGCTTGCAGTCGAGGCAAGCTTCTCCCTGTGACCACTGTGGAGGAATCTTAGTTATAAAAGCACTACATAATCATGTGACAGAACTGGGAAATTCAGGGAAAGAAAGGAGGGGTAGTTCAGTCAGTAAACATTAGTGATGCTTTGATATTTTTCTTTCATGCTCTTTCCTCTGGAGGATTTTGTTCTCTCTCTCTCTCTCTCTCTCTCTCTGCAAAAACACTGTTACGTTCTATTTTTGTACATGATTTTGACTTTTGCTTTTCACATAGGTTATAAGTGTTCTGCTTGCTATTACAAACTTTTGTAAAATTGTCAGTGATAGTCCCTTCTGATTTGCCCTCTGCCTCAGCTTTAGTACTCAGAATAGTGTGTGGCAGGTGCCTGATGGGTTTCTGTGGAGAGAAGGAATCAGCTGAATAAATGCTTTAACCTATTGAACCATCTCCCTTTGTTGGGCATGTAGGATATTTTTTTCCATTTAAAATGATTCTATGTAAGCAGAGAGATCAGGGGACAGCAAATTGTAGCCCAGAGCTAAATCCAGCTTGTCACTTATTCTTATAGATAAAGTTTTATTGGAACACATCCGTATTCATTTATGTGCCATCTGTGGCTACTTTCCTATTATAGTGGCAAGAGTTAAGACCACATGGCCAGCAAAGCCTAAAATGCTTAGAACCTGGCTGGCCCTTGTCACCTTGCTGGGTGTCAGGAGTGATCCTCTGAGCTGGCTGACAAGGTGCGTACCCATTTACACCCACTAGTCCATATGGCTATGTAGCAACCGTATGATCAGAGAGTATCTTTTCCCAGTGGTGGAGGACTAGTCTTCCACTAGGAGTGTATTTGGCATTTCTCTTGGTATAAGCTGCAAGCAAACTACCACAGTTTATTATATATTCTATTCTAAGAAACATTTTTGTACATTTCACTTTTCTTACGTTGGGGATCTACTTTGTTCTGCTCCAGTCTAAGAACTCAAGTTGCCCAGTCAAAATGAGCCAACATGCTGAAGGCAAGAATAGGTTTCCATGGACAGGGCTGAGGGTCATGAGGCCACTGCTGGAGAATGCAGCAGAGACCAAGAAGCCTCTGGCTGGCATCTCAGGGTCTGATGAATACTTGAAACTGGTAACTTTGAAGCTATATTTCAGACATTGGATTTTACGATTCCTTAAACTTAGCAAAATGATAGATGTTGGGATTCCAGACTTCTCCAGTCCAGCCCTATTCATTACAGCAAATGGGCTGTTTGGCTCCCCTTCCTTCTTTTCTTGGCTGATCTCTCTGCCTTGGTTGGATGATTGGACCACATCTCATCCCGCAAAGTGCCTGACTTCATTTCCAGCATTAGCAGATGTGTTCTGCATGAGCCAGCTAAGCTAAGCTGCTCCAGTGCTGCTGGTACTGCACTTCCTGACTCTACCTCCTTCCAGTGGCCTTCTCACACATGGCTGTATGTGATGTGACCTTCATGGAGCTGGGAGCTGGGCTTCCAGGACCAGTGGCCTGGGTTCATATCCTTTCTGTACTGCTCACTCAGCTGGTGATCTGAGGCAAACAACTACAGCAACAAAGGTAGGAGGCAACCATGCTCTAAGGCAGTCTTCCCAGTGGTAGAGCGGAGGTCATCTCTCTAGCAGTGCTTTACCTTGTGGAAGCACGTGTGGCGTCTCCTTAGTGTGCAGACTGTCCAGCAGTTCCAGAGATCCTACATTCCTAGCAGGAAGATGCAGTAGCAAGACGCAGTGGACCACACTGTGAGAAGCTGCAGCACAGAGATCTGCACATGGGAGCCCTTGCTCCTCATGTGGACGCCTTGGCCTTCATTTCCACGGGCCTGCACCATCCAGGAATAGCAATCACTCCTGACACCTCCAGCATGTGTTTGTCTATAGCTGCCTTGCTTGGGGACCTCTTAGTCCAGTCATCTCTGTTCCTGCATCTCACACTCGGTCCAAGCAGGTACTCAGGATACCTGGCATGAGCTGATGGGCATCTGTCCCTCCCATTGTGATGGGGCCTGTGGGAGTCTCTATCTGTCCCCTGCCATGGCTTCTGGGCCTGTGGCCATGCTAGGATCTCCACAGAGAGTGGACCTATCTTCCAGTGGATGTGAAGCCCAGCTATAGTCTGCAGCTGGTCATCCAGAAGTGTGGCCCGGGGCAGGAGACCTGGGAGATCCAGGGAGGCATGGAGTGAGCCAGGGGCTGCCCTTCTCAGACAAGGCTGGGCTTTTGAGCTCCTGGTGTTTAGTGGATGACAGAGTGCTAGCCTGTTTCCTTTCTA